AGAGGCTTAGGTGCTGGAAGTATTAAACAAAAGAGGTACCAATCACACAATGGCACTGGTTAGATTTGTGTCCTGAGATAAGAGGTTTTTGGGTTTGGGGTTTTTTTGTTTTGGTTTTTTTTAGGGTGTTTGGATCATACTTTCCTCTTGGAAAGCAAACAGGCTTCTGACCTGATCTACAAAACATACAGAAATTACTCACTGCACACACAGGACTTATTTGTGTAACCACCAAATCTGATCTGCCCATGAAGAACACAACATTGCTATGAGGGATGCATCTAATGGATAAATGCTGTTGAAGGAGGTAACTCAAGTGTATTTGATCTTTTTACTGAAGTTCTTCATAAAATTGTGTGGTTTTGTTCTAATGCAGATTGTAGATGCTGGAGACTACTGAAGTCATTTACCACCTTAGATTGTCCCTAAAGGAGTATCTGGTATCTCTGAAACCATACGTTTCTAGTATTTACTCACATATTAGGCTTAAAGGAAATTGTTTTATCCTGATCAGATCAATTGACTTCCTTTCAGACATAAAACTGTGCTCTTTGAGACTTATTTAATCAGTAATGATATACAGGCCTCAGAAGAAGTTTCTCATCCTTCTGTAAAATCGTTACTGTAGGATATTTCCACCCATCAATACGCTGGCTCCTCAGAGGATCTCCTTCCCTCTGAACACCAGGCAAACTTTGATTTTTGACGCTTTGCACTGAATAGGAGGGGAAGAACATATGATAACAACAAAGCACAGTATAAAAACCAATTACCTGCTCAATTAATAAACCAGACAATTTCTCCGGCTCTCCTATGCACTCCTAGGAGTACCCAATGTATAGCTCTATGGCCAGTGGCAACAGACAAGGTCTTGTGAGCAGGAGCTAATTAGACAAAGAGAAAAATCTTTGGACCTCTCACCCAAAGATTCTTCCCTTCCCGTAAGTTTTCTCTGTACGCAAAATAAAGATTTAAAAACAGTCCCCAGTCCTGCCTCCCATCGTTCATCTAAGAAGTGCAAGACTGGAGCAGGAACTTTCCTCAATAATGAGATTTGAGTCTTTTGGGAGATACAAGCACACAAGAAGCAGTTTTTCACACCTTACGAAGCCAGAGAAGCAAATGAGCTGGTAACCACTAAAAAAACATTTCTTATGATGCACCACTCCGATGCAAGAGTTGACCACACTGTTCTGTGCTCCTCGTGTCCTGGTCCTCCCAGCCTCTAACCATTCTCTTCCAGCCCCTCTGCTTTTTTCTCATCCCAGCTCTTCACTCCGCATCAGGTATCTGTCCTAATGAACAACCATCTTTCAAGGGGCAGGCTAGAAGATAACAAATAAGAACTTTAAGCTATGAAATCTGTTTCATTGTTTACAGAGGACAGCTTTCTATGAAATACAGCAGTGACTAAATGAGCCAAACCAACATATCTATCAACATAAATCATTTGTAAACAACATGTCTCATCTCTCCAGGAGCCTAGAAGCAAAACAGTATTTTCTGTCTCTCGCCCTCAGGAGAGAATGAGAAAAAGCAGATACATACTTCAAGGTTTCAGTTTGAAAAATATGCTTGACTGAAAAACATTTTTGTTCACTGCTTAGAGCTTCAAATGAAACAAAGCCAAGTTTTAAAATTCCTTCCCAAAACTAACACTTAAATGTAGTAACCCACAGATTCTTCCCATTCATAAAACTCAGCTTTGTGTTTTAAAAATGTTCCTGTGGTAATCATCTTATCTGCCCTATGGTATCTGACAGCTGGGAACTGCACCAGAGATCTACTATCGTCCTGACTTAATCCATTAAAAGATAGGTAATACTGTGGAATTACTGCACACTCCAACTAATACTTTTACCACTAGCTCACCTGACTGACACAGACTTCTGTTTGTTTGTTTTATGGATGTTTGTTTTATTGGCAAGGACAAGATACATTTTTACAGTTGTTCAGAATCAAGACTTCAGTAAGAACTAGTAAACGCTCCCATTTTAACAGCTACAAAGCAGGCAGAACAGGGAAACACATGCGGGTCATCAGCCAGACTATGCCAGCACACAGATGGTCGACCCAGTAGTGAAGTGACACCCCCCCACCCCAGGACACCCTAAAGGGCACAAATGCTTTTAAAGTGTCTCTGCATAGTTACACAAGGTATTACACTGGGGCTAGAAGGAATGTCATCTTGCACCTCATTGTGGCAGATATATCCAAAGCCATGCAATGTGCAGCTATGAAGAAGGAGTGCTACTCAGCAACAGCTATTACCCCACCCTTTGCTAAAGCATTTACTGTTCTGTTTGGTTAGTTGCAGTATTCCGAAGTGTAAAAATACACAGTATGCTTTCAACAGCATATGAAATAAAGATGCCCCCACAGGAGAAGTAAGTCTCTCAACTTGCATTGCAAGGGCCTTTCAATTTCTTCAAATAGAAATGGCTAGAGGGGAGGGGAAGAGTAAAAAAAAAAAAAAAAAAGAAGTTACTCCATGCAAAACATACTAATCACAGTTGAGAAAACTGGGAAGCATGAGTGGCAGACTTTGCTTTGGGAATTCAGGGCAAATAATTTGAAAAATAGAGCATTAGCTATGAGTGCCATGAGGATTTCTTTCTCTCAAATATGTTCCTTTTTTCTCCTACAGTCTGAAATCAACCACTGAAGTCATCACTTTCCTGAAGTAAAGACCACTGTAGCTTTGTCTTACCTATGGTTGGTCTGCAAGATGAAAAATCTGGTGTTTTTATTTTTAAAAACATAGCAATAGTAGTAGAAGAAAGTTACTTTGAGGGGCTTTCCAGTAGTACTTAATGGTAGTCTCAATCCTACAGCACAAACAACACTACACAAACTGGTCTCTGCAGTGACGTGAAAGGAAAATGACAAATGAACTAGCTTACGGAGATGCATGGTTGAGCGCTGACCACTTTTCAGACCACTTCACGAGCTATTTTTGAGTGGGTATTCAGGAAAATATGAAGTTTACAGTGTAGATGATCAACTTATACAAACAAGCTGCTTTCCAGGAAAGACCTTGCAAGGATGGTACAGGAAAATTAGTCTTTGACACTTAAATATTGAGAAAAGCTTTTTTGCTCCAAGCCTGGTGTACCATTGTTCTTTCTATCAAAGTTACCACAGAAAGAAAAACCATTCAAGCTGTCAATAATGATAAGATGTTTGTGACAGTTTAAAAAAATGTAACCAGAAATCAGCGAATTCTCTATTTGGAAAAGCCTGCAGGCCTGGCTGATTTGTCTAGTTAGCTCACGAAGAAAATGTTGTGTGTCCAGAATAGACTTACACTCACGTGAAAGCACACAAGGATCTATTCTGATCCCACAAAAAGGTATACCAACATGAGCAACAAGTGGAGAGGCACTGAATGAATATTCTGAATTCTGTAGCACATAAGGAATACCAGGCAAGAGCACAAATTGGTCCCTTCCAGACAGGCATATCACAATTAGGGAAAAGGAGAAAGTTGACTCAAAATCTAGAAATCCTCAAAATATAAAAGTTTATTTAGCTACAATATTAAAAAGTACAATATAAAGATATAAAACATAGAAACTCCATAGTGAATTCACATGCTAAAAGGATTGAGTAGCCATAAGGAGGAGACTTCATGAAATTTATGGACATCTCAGCCATAAAGGCTATTTCATCAAGTTTCAGACTTGAAATATTGAACAACCATTGCAGAGAACTTGCTCTCCCACATCACCATAACTAGGAATAAAAAAAGAAAACCAAAAGAAACAAAGTCAGTGCGTCCACCATTTCTGAAACATAACAAAGAATGCCATCCTATTCCATTATCAACTGTAACCACGGGACTCCCACATAGCACAGTCAATATTTCTCTGTTTCACAAAACTGTTAACAATGATGGCAAAAAATTAAGATTACTTCTTGGGAGTGTATTCCTTCATCACTGGCCAGCATACTACATTACTGGCAGGAAAGCAAGAAGATTTTTTGCCTCCTACAGCATTTAAATGAGAAGCTAAACTAGACTTGCACCAAGACTGATTAGACCACTTCACACAGGCATTTTATTCTCCATGTTTCACACAGTTTTACTACTGCTAAAGCAAAATGAGCAGAGTTCCAAGTCCATCATGTGGATGAGCTAGGTATCTTGCTGGGTCTTTATAAGCTACAGCCAAATTTCAGGGCATATATAATTAATTTAAGCTTAAAAATTTCAAGAGGCACTTACTCAATAGTGGAGCACAAAGAACAGGTAACTGTGTTACAGCAGCTGCAGAGCCTGCTGCAGTTCTGGCAGACGAACTGGTCACACTGCGTACATGCTTCCTTGATATCGGCCGTTCTTACACACGACGAGCAGGCTTTGGAAGCTCCCACGGGTGGAACTGCTAGGAAAAGATGCAATTAAGAAGAGACGTACTTTACAGCAAAACAGAGAAAGCACCTGGAAGTTCCAAGAACTGCAGAGTGTGGTATCTCCGCTCAGCGCTACAGCTGGGGGTGGCAGCGCTTGGCAGGACGCGCCTGCAGCCACCAGCACGGGGCCCACCGCTTGTAACTTTGTTGGTTCTTTTTCTGCTCGCTGGCAAGACCACCAAGAGATTCTCGAGCAGACCACCCATGCAAGAGTTCCCGAACCCGTCAGCGACGCTGAAATCTAACACTGCCCTCAGAAAAGCACGCAGAGGGGGGACGCACACATACCCCACCTGCGCCA